CAGACCTGTAAACAATTCTGTTTGCATCTCATCTCTTCAATTCCACCTTAAACTCTTGTTTATCCCAGTTTAACAGCACATCACTTTAAAAGTGTTCTTGTGTGCCAAATGTACCCACAAGCATCAGATCAACTAAAACCTTTAATATATATATATTGAGAAAAATAATATCAACTTCTCTTCCATTTCCACTTGGACAGAGCCAGTTCACACCACTCCAATGTTCAACTATGATGAAATTAAGAAGGTTCCAGACAATTCTTCTCCATCACTATTCATCTCTCCTCCAAGTCTGCTGTGCTGAACGGCCTCAAGCAGACTGAATGAGTTTCGGTTCCCAATGGAATTCTCATGCTTTTCTCAAAAATCAGAATAAAAAAAAATGCAAGTATCAAAACGCAAGAAACACCCCCAAATTTGCACTAATGCTGTGGGGTTTGTTGTACAGCCTCACTTATTGGATATCCACACAGGTGCTTTCCTCCCTGAATTTTCCCATGTAGAACTTGTCACTTCAAAGCTGTTGGACAACTCCCTCCTTATCATCTATGTTCTCTGTTGAGAGAGGAGCACACACTGGTCTCATTTCTTTGTCCATATAAAACAGTGTCGACAGCCAAAGATGCTGCCCATCTGGTCATCAGGCTGCATTAACACTCAGTACAGTTGTATGTACTGCCTGACCAGAAGATGGCCCTATACAGCCATGTCCAGAGGACCACAGCCTTTTTCTTCTCTCATAATTAAGCAGGGACAAGAAGCACACGTGGGAACAAAAACTGCAGGAACAACAAGTTCTTTCCCTTCCCTCCTCTCAATGCCTTAAGTAAGTATTCTCTTTATGAATTACAAGCTCTAGAAGCTGAAGGCCTCTCCAAGGAGAAAACAGCAAAGACTTCTCCTCATGTATGGTTGATGAAAACAACATTTAACCAATACCTGAAGTTTTGCAAGAGGCATGAATGCCAGCCACAGAGCTTTTTAGATGGGTGACAGTAAAGATAACTCACAGAATATGTTGGTATAAAGCCTGCTTTTGTGTCACTTGCTTTTAAGTCTTGTCAAATTTGCCTTACAGTGCATTGAACTTACGCTTCTCCAGAACCACAATGTTAATCTACTAAAACCTTGATTCACATGGGCTGGTAACAACTACAGGACCTGGAGGTTCCTGTTTCCAGGAAGAGCAGTCCATATGCAGACTGAAGTCACTGCTCACAGATGCTTCAGAGGCATCAAGGGCACTCCATGCTTGTTCACTAATCAGTTGCTGACCACTCAGCGTTAATTATGTGCTTAGGTATCTAGAAATCAGTGTGGGAAGATGGCATTAGCCAAGCCATCATTGGTAGCAACAAATTATGACTAGAGTCCTATAAGGATCTCCACTGAATTCAGGACCCTTGGAAAACCCTGGCTTCAGAAACTGGCTCCACAAAATCAGGAAGCTCCAGGAGAAGTACACCTGTAGAGGGATCTGGCTAGCTTTGTTATTTCCTGAAAGCACATCAGTTATAATTACACACATGCACACAATATTTGGATGGATTAAAGCTCAACCCCAGGGCACAGGTGCTACCCAACTCCTAGATGGATGAATTCACTGGCTTGGTACAGCCTTGAGGCAGTTTCTTCCTTTTGCCTTTCTTATGGACCTATGGACCAAACACAAACTTTCTTCTCCCCACCTCACTGTCATTTCAGGTTTATGCATTCTGCGTACAGCCTTATTTCTGACATGCTTCCTGGGATTAGATGAGTAGTAAGAAGTAGTGCACTCTTACGGGTCTCAGACAAAAAGACAATTGCACATACACAGCCTGTGTTCTGTACAAAACGAGTCACTTAATGAACACATGCACACTTTGGAAAAGCACATAAACCAGGTAAAGCATTGCCAGCAGCCTCTGGGGCGAGTCCCCTGCCCAAATTCCTCTATGGACAGCAGTTTAAGTTCTTCCCAGCTGGGTAATAAGACTGTGATTCAGTTTCCAACGCACACAGTTTAATCCATCTTCCATTAGGTGAGATAGACAAGACTAAATGAAGTAACACTGGTTTCCCAGGGTAAGCCAGGGTGCTTTGTGTCCTGTGTTTAGCAGCAGCAGTCATTTTTCTCCTTCTCAGTAGCTGGTGCAGTGCTGTGGTTTTGACTTTCAGCCTGGGAACAGCGCTGATAACACCGATGGGTTTAGTTGCTGCTCAGTCAGGTTTAGTCTGACCAAGGACTTTCTGAGCCTCCTGCTCTGCCAGGGAGGAGGGGAAGCCGGGAGGAAGCAGAGACAGGACACCTGACCCAAACTGATCAAAGAGGTATTCCATACCACAGGACTTCATGGCCACTATATAAACTGGGGGCAGTTACCTGGAAGGATTAGATCACTGCTCGGTCAGCCTGGGTATCGGTCTGCGAGTGGTGAGCAGTTGTATTCTCTTCCTTTGTTATTTCCCTTATCATTATTATTATTGGTGGTAGCAGCAGTGGTTTGTGTTATACCTTAGTTACTGGACTGTTCTTATCTCAACCTGTGGGAGTCACATTCTTTCCCTTCTCCTCCCCATCCCTTCAGGAGTGGGGGGGAGGAAAGGGGGGGCGTGAGCGAGCGGCTGCGTGGTTCTGAGTTATGGCTGGGCTTAAACCACGACACTTTGTTAAATCAAAATCTAAACACTGGCTGCTGTGAGGAAAACTAATTCCCACTGGGGAGGTGATGATCACTGCTACCTTTGCTGCCAATGAGAGAGAGCATGTAACCTAAGAGAGCCTGTTCTTGAGGCACAGGAGGAGTGCAGCAAGCACGAGGAAGACCTCAGTCAAAGTACATTAACACACTGGAATCCTTTCACTGATGCTCTAAAAGCACTAAGTTGAAATTATCTTTGAAAATATATGGAAGATTTTGGGAGAAGCAGGTTTAAACATGAGTCGCTTCCCATGCCTGGTTATGCTGTACTCCCTTCAGTCAGTGGCTTAACATGAGGGTAGTCACAAGCAGTTTATCTGGGGGAAAAACGGCTTATATATTAAGGAAATAGTCATGCCTGGGTTTTATACAACAACATAATACTGCTGAAACTACAGTCACCAATTTACATTTGCTAAGTGCACTCAAACACACCACACCTAGAGGCATTCTGACTTCTATTGCCATCATTCCCCATTCTTCACAAGCTGCTAGCACCAGTACTTCTCCAACTTAAAGGCAACATGGCTCATTACAGTGAGAAAGAAATAGGAGGCAGGAGAGCACACGTATTTCTTAAAAGACTATAACAAGAGGGAATGAAAAATCCTTCAGCTCCATTAAATATGTAGCATATAAAAAATGAGCCAAGCTGGAAGTGCCTGCCAATTACGTGGCCAAATTAAATACACAGATAATTGGTACAAGATAATTGGTACTAAGCTAAGCTCCCATCTAAAGGGTGCTGAAATCACAGACAGGGTAAGTGAAATGAGGAGGAGGTGTAAAGTTAGCCCTGATTATGCCTTGTTTGACTTGACCATTTGAACAGCTAATCCTCTGCTAACATATCTGTTTTCAGAGATACCTCATTTTTGAAAGGCTGAATCAGTTTCTGCCTAATGTCATACTCAGGACAGTTTTGATCTGATCTTCAGTTTCGGGGGGTGGTGGCAGGTTGTTTTACTCTGCTTCAGGTTAATGAATCTTTAATCACATTGATGGGGAAAAGTTAATAGAAAAATTAATGAAAACACAACATCAGTGGCTGTGATTGTGTAAGGAATAATAATGAGAACAACAGATGCAGCCTGTTTGATGGCCCAGTTTGAAATACTTCATGCCCAATTACAGACACACTCATTTTCTACAAGGCAGACAGTTGGATAAGAAAGAGATTATAATTTTCTGTTTTATGACTACTGCATAGAATACCTAAGGTCATAGCATGGATGATTTACAGGAAACAATAGTTCTCATAGGACAGTTGTATGAAAAGGAGCCCAGCTCTCCCCTGCTTTGCAAAGGTATAAGCAGAAGGACCCCAGGGAGCCTTGTGAAGGCAAAGCATCCCAGGTGAGCCTTGTTTTACAACAATCACAACTAACAGAAGAGTTTCTCCTTGAATTCAATGCCCAGATGCAGATTTCATGGTAAAGGAAGGAGGTTGGGGTACAATCATGTCCTAGCACATACTCCCCCCCCACCTTATCCAGTCTTTCTTCCCTCCATGTCCCTGCTATGAATTATATCCATGCTCCACCTGCACTGCTTCTCTTGCAAAAGGGAAACTTCCCCCTAGAAAACAACCACCTGCAGGCCCTTCATTTTGGTAGCATCCTCTTTTGATGTCCTAGGTGGCTACCTCTTTTACCCAGGCAGAAATACAGTTCTACCTTATACAAGGAACTGCAGGATCTCTGTATTGCCTCTGCTCAACAGACCCCCTGATTTTAATGATAAGAGAAAAAAAAAAAGCCATAAAATGAGGAATGACCCCAAAACCAACAGCCCTGTCACCAAAGTCCAGACCAAAGTCCTCAGTTCAAAACTGCAAAGTACAACACTATGATTTCAACTTCCTCTATTTGAACCCACAGTTAGTAAATTCTAGGCCAAACGTATCTGAAGACAAAATTCAACGGGTGGTTTTTACCCCCTGTTTTCCCAGGTTGGGTGGTGGTTGTGCCAATCTGGGGGGTTCGTTCCTTCTGTATTTTCCAAACTGAAACCTAGTTCAACCTCTGATGAACTGATACTTTTGAACCAGAGAATAGACACTTGGGAAGTCCGGAACTGGATATACTTCAGGCACAGCAGAAGTTCAATACGACTTAATGACATAAACCACTTTCTGAGTACTTATTAAGTCTGCAAGATGACAAAATCCCTGCATATCAGTACAAAGATAACTCCTCAGATTGCTGCTGATACCAATGAGGGAAGTCTTTGAATCCAATGCTAACTGCATCTGCCTGTGGTCTACGCAGGGGCAAAGCACCTCAGAGAAACAATTGTTTGACTTATTAAACTGACCTGAAGTTTAAGGTCACTGCTTTAACAGGATCTTGTTTAGAGACTCTCCCTCTTATTGATTTGGGTAGAACATAAGGGCTAGGAGTGGAGTTGAAAAGAAAAAGCAATAGGATTTAAACTAAATTACTTCTCTTGCTACCCAGGGCAAAAATCCAATGAGGTCTGAAATAGGTCAAGTCCTGTTTTATCAGCTGCCACTTTAATCAGTCTGGATGTGGGAAGCTGTTAGCCACCCATATGGCTATTTTAGCTAAACAAGATATTCTGTATGATTGGGAGAGGCATTTTCAGGTTCATAAACTCGTAAACACTAATTTTTGCCAGGGCTGTATCAGAAACAGGTTTCGTATGTTTCACTGCGGGCCCTACAGGCACAGGAGACGACACTGATAAAGTCTTACAGTTATGCACTAGCAAACAGGGGTACACATCAAGATTCGTATCACGTTAGCTCACCTAGAAGGCCTTACTGCCAGTTAAATAACCTGGTACCTGCTGAGACTGAAGGAGAACACAGAATCAGAGCAAAGTCAGTCCAGCACTCAGTTCCATCTCTGAGCCTGAAAAAAAGCACTTGTGGATGAGTACAAGGCTGGGAAAGCATTTCCTGTGCCTTCCCCACAATGCTTTTCCAGGATTTAAGGCTCAGAGGACTTTCTGAACCAGAGACAGTGCCTTTCTCTACATATTATCCAATTTTTCTTCCTGGAGTTTGCCTATAAATTGTGGTCATCAGTGGCAGCACAGGGCAAAGAATCCCACAGTTTCGCTTTGTATGGTTTAAAAAACCCTTCTGAAATAAACAGGGAATGAGCCTCTGAAAGTTATTCCTAGACAGGGAACTGCATGCTATCAACCTCCCACTGGAGCTACAGGGTTCTGCGCTGTGTAAAGAAATTACTAGCTGCAGCATTAGAAAGAAAAGACAATGTTATCTGAAGCAGTGCCAGAATAGCTCCTTATCTGTTTGCTCAAGGTGCCCATAAGGTACAGTGAAACAGGCAGGACTTGCATAACCCATAAATGCACGGCAGCAGAACATACAATCCCATGCCACAACAATGTATGTGCAGTATATGTAAGTGGATATAGATCTGCAGTCTCAATTCTGTAATCATTGATGGCATCTATTGCACACAGCCACTGTTAAAGTTCTTTTTATATCCTTTGCTAATGTCCTCTCTGCTAAGAGGAAGCAAAAAAAATCACAGCTAATGTGCTTAAAAGAGAAAGCTCTGCTTCTACTTTGGCTATTCCCTATAGTGAAAAGCTAAGGATGCCCAGCATTCAGAAGATTAAAAAATAGAGAGAGAAGCAAACACACACAAATCCCTTAAAGGTCTGTGGGGAGCCAGCAAACAGAACTTCAGAGCACTGCAGGTGAGCAGTAAATATTGCTCACAAAAGGGCTCCTATCGGGTTTTCACTGGTCATTATTGCTAGGACACTCCTAAAAATGGCAATGTGTGTGCTCACATTAAGGATTTCCACTGCTGAGATAGTCCTGGGTCCTATTTAGCACCCATTCTACAGGAATACCTGCAAGGGCACTTCTGTAAGGGCAAGCCCACCAGTCCATCACAGCTGCAGAGCATCTACCACTGATTGCAGACAGCAGCAAGCCTTTGCAGCTGATTGCTCTGCCCAGCAGCTGGACTGAGCCAAAATAAGCAAGAGCAATTAAGCAGGGTGTGAACCTGAGTGTGGAATAACTCAAGGACTGCAGAGATGGGGTTGACCAGAGACTCAGGCTACCCAGCAGTAGGATTAGAGCAATGCTCTGTACTGAGGTCTCATAAGACCCGTAACAGGAGGACCAGTGAACTAGGAGAAAAAGGCAGGGACCCAAATTTGGGGTAATGCAAGGAAAAGCTTCGGACCATACAGGAACTTTGCACCACTGCTCACAACCTGACCTCCCAGCACCCACATTATCACCTTCAAAGCATTTATTTCACAATATGAAGCAATTCATTAATGCAGTACCCCTGCTTACTACAGTAGGAAAAGCTTATCTCTGCTGTACCAACATGCAAACCAATTCCAAACCATCACTTCTCAGATACCAGAATTACAGTACACAATAACTAGAACCAGGACTCTTACCTCTTTATGCAGCCCACCATTTTGCTTCCTTCTGGAGGAAAGAACCTCACCTACCAGGAAGAGCAATTATATACAGCTGCCCCATCAGCATCACCAATGGCTGTAAGCAACCTGCAGCTGCTGCCTAAACAAGTCAAGCCTTAATCAGAGAGTGTCAAGACCAAGCCCCCTCGAAACAATAGCCACACTGAAGGATGTTTGTGGAATGGAGACTTTGTGCTTGTTAGTGTTCCTCTGAGGTGTATCTGTTGGAACATTTAGTTCATGAGAAAAACATAGCAATCGACTAAGATGCTTCCCCATCTCTCTCTGATTTTGGAGTGTTCCTGTAAGAACAGAGAGGCAGCATGTGGGACACTGACACATTTGCTGCTAGTTAAACCCTGGTTACCTGCCTCAGTCTCTTGTAGAAGTGCTTGTGGAGCAGGAACTGCTCAGGAAACAGGGCGCTGGGTATAGGTCAATCCTGGTGATAGGATGCATGAAGTGGGTCCATGCTCCTGATACAGCTTTTCAAGCATCAAGCGGCCTGCTCAATTGCTTAAAATGGTGTTCTCGGGGTAGCTGAACACCAACTATGAAACACAGTCAAGCAAACAGAGACTTGGATCAACTCCTGTTGCTACAGAGGCCCTGTAGCAACAGGATCTGTGTTTAATATCAGCTCAAACCTCTATGCTACAGTCACCTCAGAAAATCTAGCCAGATGTTTGGAGATTAGATGGTCTCTAAGCACTGGGTGGGCATGGCTCCAAACCATGCACACAGGGGCATGGGGACAGAATGTCTGTATGGTTTTATTGTCATCCCTGGATGAAAGCAACAGGGTGGCACAGTGCTTTGGACAGGATTCCTCGACACAGAAGGTGCCTTTTAAGCTTTATTTCTTCTGTTTTCACGCTTAGGTGATACGCAGATAGACTCCACAACTCGTTAAAATTGTAAAGTAGGTATGCTTTATTCAGCGCTGAGGCGCATGGGGATTGCTCCTCCCCTATCATAGGTTTGTATTTGCACAACATACCACTGGTCTTCATGATGCTTTTATATGTGTTTAGCTATTACACATGCATAAAATGCACCCACGGGGACATTGACTGTGGTCACAGGCTCCACAGACAACCTTGATGTGCGTGTCCATGTGGGAGCATGGTGGGAAGTCGAGATGAATGAGCAACCAAACAGTGATACTGGCATACAGGAAATACCAACAAGCCCTCTCGCACGCTGCTGGGAGTCAGGAGACTGAAATCTGTTCTTATCCCTGCCACTGAACGGTGCCCTCAGCTGGGTCATTTCCCTTGGGTCATTTCTTCTCCTCTTTCCACTTCTTAGAGATTAAAATTCTCCAAGGGGATAATTTCACAGACCACCTCTGCTGCTGAACGGAGCCCTCATTTCCACTGCCTTATCCATAAAGCCTGTATAGCTGTGAGCAAACCATGGCATTGACCCTGGCTAAAACAATGCGGGTTTGGGTTTTATTCCTGGTTTTGGGACTGCCAAGGGCGTGTGCTTGGGGAAAAACAAGGGCAGGGAACAAAGGCAGAAAGCTTGTTCTACCCCTTGGCTGACAGGAGCTGGTGAAAAGACCACCCATACACATGGGCTGCAGCAAGAGGTAACCTCCTGACCTGCCTGGCCTGAGCTGATCTCAGCCTGGAAGTCACAGCCAACAGGACTGCATTCTGCTGGTGCTGAGTTTCTTGGTTTATACTGTGATGCAGTATAAAACTGCATTAGAAAAACTAAGGAGCCACAAGGAGCCACAGCTGGGTCCAGATAATGGTGCTCATCCACCCTGAATACATACCTGGACCCAATACTTTCTGGTGCCTTACAAATCAATCAGCACCTGGAGAAGGCTCACAAGCTGCTGAGGTGCATAACCCCCTCCTCATCCTCTGTGTTCCCTGACATACTGTTGAAGAGGAAAGCAAAGGAACAAGCACAGGGGAAACATGCTTGAAATTGGACAAACCCAAGATGTACTTCAAAGGCTTCACGGTGCCAGGCAGAAACCGTACTGCTCAGATGTATTTAACATCATATTAACACTCAGCCTCATACCCTAAGGAGGAACAGTGTGACATTACTTATTCATTCTACAATAGTTTATTGCTGTGATGGGGAGGCTGAACTATGACTCCTGCAGGATCTTATTTTTCTTACCAGCTGTAATGAAGCTGGTTTCACAGGAGCCCTCTCCCAGTTGTAATGAGCTGCCTGTCTCCTGCCACTATGATTCAGGGAGAGAAATAAGACCAGCTGAGAAATACTTTATACTTTGATCTGTCTCAACAAATCAGTTCAAGAGCTCTAAAACAGAAACCCCAGGGAGAGGGAAGGGGAAGAGAAGTTCAAGCAGGGAAGTTTTAAAGCTGTATTTGATTTATTTCACCAGAGCTATGGTAGGTAAGAAAATCACGTCTGTCCATCTTTTTTGAGCTTTCTCAGCTCTCTCAAGCCTTACTACACTCCTAACTTTAGACAACTTTATTTCAGTGATAACCAAAAGAACAAGTGTCTATCTATCTATATCTGTATCTATGTCTGTCCTGGGCTGTGACAAGAGTGATGGTATATTGAAAAATGTAAGATCTGAGCATGACATGAATGGTATGGAATAAGGGGTGGATACTATCCTGGTTCAGCAGCAGCAGTCATTTTTCTCCTTCTCAGTAGCTGGTGCAGTGCTGTGGTTTTGACTTTCGGCCTGGGAACAGCGCTGATAACACCGATGGGTTTGGTTGCTGCTCAGTGATGTTTACTCTGACCAAGGACTTTGTGAGCCTCCTGCTCTGCCAGGGAGGAGGGGAAGCCGGGAGGAAGCAGAGACAGCACACCTGACCCAAACTGACCAAAGAGGTATTCCATACCACAGCACGGCATGCCCACTGTATAAACCGGGGGCAGTTACTCGGAAGGGTTAGATCAGTGCTTGGTCAGGCTGGGTATCGGTTGGCGGGTGGTGAGCGG